ATATTTAACAACTTCTGCAACTTCAGCACTTGACAGCTTTTGAGGAGCTAATCCGTGGTTCACTTCGTCACGTTTTAACTCCACAAGAAAAAACAATTAATGACCAATTACCGCGAGAAAAGTCAATTATTACTGTGCGCAGCTTTTTTTTTTTTGGTATAATTTCTTAATTAGATCTACTCTGAGGAACCAGCTAGAAAAACCAAAATGAAATATTTTAGAGAAAGATGCAGACCTGATAGAGCTGGAAGAGCGGCGGAGGGAAGGAAGAAAGAAGCAGGAGGAATGTGGAGAGAAGCGGCGGAGTGAAGCTGAAGGCCCCAAATGGAGCAGCTCTGCTGATCCAAAACTTTACCTGCAGCTCAGATTGAATTAATAAAAAAAAATGCATTTATTAGAAATAAAAACCCGACTCCTCCTGCTTTAAACTTGTATTTACGTTTTTTTTGTTTACTCTGCAGGAAAGTTTTATATTTTTTATTTTTTTAAGTGAATCTCAGTTAGAGCAGAAGCTTCATTGGATCCTCGGCAAAGTTTTTTATTCCTCTTTTTTCTCTGGCTTTAAGTCTTCTCTGCTGTTAAAAGCGGAATTCGGCTCCAACCGCGCAGCGAATGGGATGGTTTCGGTCCGGTGCGCCGGGATGGCGCAGCAGGCGACCCGGGCCCCTGGGGGCCCCTATGTGGTGGCGGGTTCCTATCGCTGCTGGACCTTCCGGACTCTGTTCTGACTCTGATTTCTTGTTATTTTATTTATTTTTTCATCCTCCATGAAGGCAGGCGGATCGGATCCGGAGCGATGCGCTCCGTGTGAACTCCTGCTCCGCCTGGGAGGATCAATCAGCTCCCAAATTAACCAAACCGATCAGCACTATTTTATCCTCCATCCTTTTCTTCCTCTTAATGCAAAATATTTCATTTGATTATTTTTCCTTAACAGACATCAACTTACCATAAAACCTTTTGCTGATTTTCTGACCTCTTATAAAACATTACAGCCGGGAAGTTTAATGAGACACAAAGCAGTTAATTTCCAACCTAAATCTAGTTACTGATCTAAGTGAGTTAAATTCTAAATAAAACGACTTGGCTGCGTTTGTTCCTCCTGTTAAAAACAAACAGAATTAGTTTGAGATTAATGTTCGTAGAACAATAATCGATTATAAATGTTTTTTTTTTCCTCTCTGATGAAGATGTTTGACTCTTTAGGCCTGAAGGAGAAAAGACTCCAGAGCTGCAGATGCAAACAGAACAGAAACCATCAACTTTCATGTTTATTTCCCCTCCTGGACACCAGAAAAAAATATTATTTATTTACAAAAATCTAAATGTTTCTTAACTGCTCTTAATTAACAAATTAACATCTTAATTAAAAGGCTTAATACCTACATATACATCTTTATTTTTTACAGTGTGCTGCCATTGTGGTTATTAATGAGGAGTCAGTTACAGATTTGTTCTTCTTTTTTAAACAGACACCAGTTGTTCTGTTGTGGATCTCAGTTAATGCAGTTTGTACATTTAGTTTGATTTAAATGCCTTCTATGGATGAGGGGAAATATTGTGCATTTAGGGAAGTAATAACGCTTTAATTATGCAGCTTTCATTTAAGCCAACTGGACTCGCTTTCATTTGATTTATTTATTTTTTTAAAAAGCAGCCCAACTGATCAACAAATCAAGCTTCTAGTTAAGGAGTTTGGATTAAAATTAGAGCCGCTATGGTTTAGCTTCTCTGAATTTGTTATCTACTATTGATATTTAATTGTAGTTTCTGTAAAATTGATCATTCTTGACGTTTTGCGTGCTTCCTCTAACATGCTCCACGTAAAAAAGTCGATTTTCATGTCAAGCTTGGCGTAAAAGCCAGGATTTCTCTCTGTTATCCAGGTTCTGTGGCCCCCAGGGGCCAAAGACAGAGAGCTTCTGACAATGTTTTCACCGATACTTTAAATTCAGACCCATTCGGTGTGAGAATCTCTGCTGATATGAAGGGAGTCGTCATTAAGACCCCGACTGCTTAATCAATGAAAGATTTATAAACTAGAAAAGATGAGAAAACTAAAGGTGATGCTTGGGAACCTTATTAGGCCCCTTTTCAATTTGCTCTTCATGATGTTTCCTAAAATACTTCTAGCTGAAGTTGAAATAATCGATGAAGAGTGTTTTGTTTCCCTGTAATTAATCAGACATTTACAGCCGAGGCTTTATTACCAGTGAAGAACAGAGCTGCTGTAAATCCTGTTTGGTAACACGAAGCTGCACCAGATTAGGAATGCGTGACATGATAATAATAATAATAATAATGACATTCCCCTTTTTTATTGGGACATTGTTTGCATTGATTTCTGATCTGATGTGACGTGCAGCTCCAGAAGCATCAGTTTGCTGCTGATTGGTGGAGCTATATTACTCATCTCATCCTGCTGCATGTAGACAGCAGGATTTTCTGCTTTTTGGGTCATTTTATGAAATAAATCCTGGTTTTAATGATTATCTTAATTGCACTTAAACATGTAATCTTAGGACATCTGTATGTAATGTAGACGTCCCTTTGATTCTTTGCACATTCACATGATATTCTGCCAACTTTAACTCCTTTTTGCTGCTGCCTTTTTCTTCGTTATGGTTATTTTCTGTATTTTAACCTGTGGAGGACGGAGAGCTCGGAGCATTAAAAAGGTTTGGGTCATGCTGCAGCCGGGTCGCTGCAGAATGACCCTCCAGTCGTTTCCACCCTGCTGTCTGTGCATCCTCACCCCACGTCCAGACCCGACCCCTCCTCCTGATCGTCCACATTCCTCCTCCATGGGTCAAACCAAAGCAAACCTCGTCTTCTTGGTGGATCCTTTTGTTTTCATCCAAATCATTGATTAACAGCCTCCATCCGACTCCTCTGATAATATGTAGACTAAAGCTGAGGAAGTTAAACTGCCCTTTTCTAGATGAGCATCAACATTTTTTTAAAAATTCTGCCAGAGAAATCAATTAACAGAAATACTTCTCCTGAAGTAAAGAAGCCAAAAGTTAAGAGTTGGAGTCCCTCTGGTCTTCCTGCATGCTGGAAATATTCAAATCATGGCTTTGCTAGGAGGAGAGTGGTGCTGCTGGTGCTGCTGGTGGTGGTGGGGGGGTCATATGCCATCCTATTTCTCTGCAGGATTAGACCACAGAGCTCCTAATAGAGCTGTCATTCTTTTATCTGTGCTGCATTAACCAATAGCCTGATAGCGCTGCAATAAACCCTGATGTGGAACAGGGAAGACAGGCTGTATCTCAGGAAATTTCCCTAGATGTGACGCCTCCCCCTTCCCTGCTATCAGCTCTAATAATCTCTACCTGGTTTGCATCCCGACGGCAGGAGTGTTTGTTAGCAGCAGGGGAGGCAGAGTGTGGGGGGGGTCAGAGGTCAGTTCTTCCTTCTGTAGCGTTAGAAGTGCCCAGCGTCTCCTGAGCGTATGTGTTGGTGTCTTTGCTTGCTGCATGCTTCAGAGCCGTGGGAGCTGATCTGAATGATCTGCTTTTTGCTTCGTTTTGAGGTTTTGCTTCCATCAGAAGAGAGTTTTTCTCTTTTTTTCTCCGTTTAACTTTGGAGCGTCTCATTTAGGATCAGGGTGAAAAAAAAAAAGATTTTTCTGCCTCCTCTGAATCCCACGTGTGTCTGTCTGTCTGTCTGTCTGTCAGAAGAACATATTGTTTGCTGATGTGTCCTCTGGGTGTGTCCATTTATTTATCTGTTTTTCTGCCTCCTCGGCTGAAGGGCCGCCCAGCTGGACGGGCTCCTCTGCAGAGGAGGGGCCCGCTTCCTTTCCACCGCCGGCACGACACCGAGGATTTTCTGTTCTCTAATCCAACTAATGTTTGCAGGAGATTCAGAATTACTCCGATTATATCAGCCAGTTATTTAATGATGAGATTAAAAAGGTGTGAGAGAACTGCAGTCATGCTGCTGCACCCTGCCTGTCAGCCACCTGAAATACCTTTTTTCCATCTACAGCCACAAACATCGGTGACATTTGATAGTGGCTCCATCTGCCTCTGCCTGCCAGCCATAAACTGCGATAGGTGTTGTGACCCCTTCCTTATCAAACCCATGTTACGCACAGCCCCACGCCTTCGCAGCAGACCTGAAACAGCTCCTCTTATCGTCTCTTTATTAACTGCCCTCACTATCCCACACCTTGCGATTATTATGGACTTGATATTATGTCGGTATCGCAGCCCTGTTGCCTAATGTGGCGTTTTGATAGCAGCGTGATGCGTTTAGATGTGATGCGCCACATAGAATCCGCCTGTCTTTAAGGAGGGTGTCCAGAACAAAGCCTGGCTATTGCTCAACACGCTGCGGACAGATAACAGGCTGGCATTCATCAGCCCGGTTGGGATGTCCTATTTCCTTACACCCAGTTATTAGTCACCTCCCAGAGATTTGCTTTTATTTTCAGCACCGTGAAAACTTTC